TTTAGCTTTCCATTTTAAGAAGGTATCTATGGGAAAATTCAGTTGATAGCTTGCTTTAACTATAAATTCGTTGATGTTGTGTTTTCGAAAGTCTTGTAACAGTAATTTGTAGTCATGTTTCTGACTGGTCTAAATTTTGTACCATAACTCATTAGTGTTTTTAGTTGATGGTTTTGTATGATATTCAGGTTGCCAGTAATTATGTGCTGGTGATGAGAATCTACGTAATTGCTGTAAATTGGTGTCTTACAATGTCATTCTGCAGTTTCATCTATTTCATGGTGGTTAGTAAGCAAGTTGCTTAAGGTCCTTTGATATTTAAATGCAATCATTGGTATAGTGTCAACTGCGGGGAAGTAATCTTTACAATCTCTGATGATTCTTGAGAAATGAATATTGTCAAACTGCGGATGCAGAAAATTGACTTTAAAATAAATTTTGCGTTGAGTGAGACTATTAGAGAGTCTGAAAAGACTAAAATCAAGAATCATGTCTTTAATGATTTGTATGTCGTCGTAGCTTTCTTGAATGAATTTTTTTAGTTTGATAAGGAATTTATTAGTACAGGAGTGTAACCAGTTGAGAAGTTTCTTGGGAAAACAGTCTGAGTCAAAAAAAAAAACATTTCAATTGTTTTTTCAATGCAAGTGTATCCAAAGTGGATAAAAATCTCGCATTATTTTTTATTTTGCTTCCTCTTTTTCCTCTCTGCGTTTTGATGCTGTAGAGTTTAAATTGGCTGAAAATAGACTTCTTAGAAGTATCTCTATGACTATGTATATAAGTGTTAAGTCCATATGGATAAAGTGAACGTTGTTTTAGTATATAGAGAGATTCCTGAAAAATTCGTGTTTTGTGATTGGGTATTATATCTAGTATCTGAAGTTGAATAGAGTTGAAGTCATGGTGTTTAAAGTGTTCTAATTCTGCTGTATTAAGTTGTGATGGTGTACTTATTTTAATGTTATTTTTTTGTGCGTTGAATTTTTTGATTTGAGCTCTATGGTTATTGATTCGAAAGTTAAGATTGTTTTTAGTCTGTCCTATATATTTAATATGTCAAGTACCGCATGTAATCATGTAAATACAGTTAAATGTTTTTCATAGAAATTGTTTTTTGGGTTTACCTGTAGCAGGCATGGCGTTAAATTTTCAAGTTTGTCATCTAGTGGAATGACATTTAGTGATTTCAATATGAGTTAAACTAGCAAGATATAAAAGTAAGGAGGCTGCTAACCTTCAATACAGTAAAGTTTTTGTATAAGAACTTTAAAACTTAAAAAGGTTGGAGATAATATATAAAGTGGGTACATTAGGTAAGAGATAAATAGCGCTAATAGCTGCTATTTAGCATATCAAATGTTGTATGAACTTAAATCCATTTAGTGCGAATACAAGTTATTATTACTTGCGCAATTGCTGCAAAGTTAGTTAATAATAATTTATTTCCTAAAACAGTATTGATTAATTGATTATATTATCTCCTAAGTTTAATTAAAGTAGAATTATTTTAAAAGTGTGCATCCATACTGGTAAGTTATATTTTGAAAGATGTTTTGAAGTAATTTGAAAGCAAAATGTTAATAATGTTTTAACGGGGACTGGAGTTAAATCATCACGAAGAATAATATTACAATTGTAAAAGTAAAAATTAAAACATGTAATTATTGTCATTGATCGGAAATTAGTTGACTTTTCAAGGGGAACAAACCAACTCCCGTTCAATGATCAATAATTGATAGAAATACGTAAATATGAAAGTGTTTCGTCTTTACTCGAGTTATAAATTAAAGCCAAACCGGCAATTCTAGTCAGGCCAAATATTTCCGCGAATAGTTGTTACTCAAAGAACTGATTCTCATGAAGCATTTTAGTCAATTCAATTTGGAGTAAAAATCAATTACTGTAGAGAAATCTTGTAAAACTCGAGTAATCGTCCCCGACACTATCATCTTTATGTATTTGAGTACTATATTATTTGTAGAAATTAAACATTGGAAATTGTCATTATGAAATCGAAATCAAAAGTAAAGTTGAAATAAACATAGAAGATTATAAAAAAGATAAATAATGCAAACTTTGCAAAAACAAATCAAAGAGAACATAAAAATAATATAAAAATAAAATAGAAAATAATATAAATAAGATCAGTGAATGTACATGAAGATATAAAGGCCAGAAAGGTATTAAGTAACTTACATTCTTTCTAGTGGGGGAGTTGGCAGTGTGTTCTCTTCGTGTCTGACTCAGAAGTGTAGGGTGTCCGAAAATTCTTAGCGGCAGTAGGGGCTTTGAATTATATCAGTCGGTAAGACTTGGGTGAAGAAATTTATGGTAGTGGGTGGGACTTGGAATTCTTGAGGGATGTATTTTGTGGAGTTCTTATCTGAGAGAGACCGTCTGTTAAGATTTTTTTAAAAATACTAGTGAATGGAAATTAATTAATTTCTGGCTAATTGTCGTGTCGCAATGATTAAGAATTTAAGAAAGGAAAAAGGCATTTTCGCTATCCAAGAGCTAGTAGACAGTCTAAAGGCAGGAAATAGTATAGTAACAGTATATGTCTGAAGACAATTAGCTTTTTACAATATATACAATTGAGTAATTACACTATATACAAATCTTTCAACTGACAGTCATCCAACTTATACCGCCTTCTCAGGTTTAGGAATAAATTATCATATCCCTATCAGTTAAATGATTTAGAGTGAGTATTTAACGCCTGCTCTTTTAAGGCAATGGTTGATAAATTGAAAGGGAATTAGATTATTTTTGAGAATTTTGATAAGGATCAAAATTTCGCGTTGTAAATCTATTGTATCTGTGCATATAGTTTTAATTCGTTGTATTTGATTAATTATAGTATTGTTAATTACTTTTTTGGATATGTTGGAGTTCCAATTTATTAATTTGTTAGTATTGAAATTGAAGTTTCTTGTTTTGTCAAAAAGTAAAATTTTTTTGTAGTTAATGATTTGAAGATCTAGAAAGTCTATGCTATTTTGTGAATTATTAGTTTTATTAAGTTTAAGACAATTCGGATAAATGTCGGAGTTTTCAATTTTACCAAAATTATTAATTGTAATAAGGTCATCAATAAATCTGTAGGTGTGTGTTTGTAGTAATTTAACTCTTGTGGTTGTAGATTTTTTTGGAAGTTAAATTCTTTGACAAATAAAAAGATATTACAGATCGAGGTGCTGGAATGTAAGCCCATTGGCAATCCTCTGACTTGTTTAAAAAGTTGATTTTGAAACTTGATGTAGTTATGAAAAAGTGTGCATTTTAGGTAGGTTTTCCATTTGTCAAGAGTCATGATATTGAGTATATTAGGGAAAAGTTTTGGTAGATCAAGTAGACTGGTATAGATTTCTTCTAGAGGAAGTGAGGTATATAAGTTTTCAAAATCATAGCAGTTAATGTTTTGGATGTTAATGGGTATGAATGGTATTAATGACAGGAGTGTTATTATTATGAATGATCCAGCAATAGTTATGATTAGTGTTACAATCATTGAAAATAAATTTACAGATTTTATTAAGTTGAATTGAAAAATAATAGTCTATATTTTTCTTGTAATTATTAGTTCCATTAGCTATAAATCTAAATTTTAATGGTGTTTTATGGAATTTGGGAATCGCATAAAGATTAGTAAATCTGTTGTAGTTTGCATTGAAAGTAATATTGAGTTTCTTATGAAAAGTTTTAATCCTGTTTATTATAGATGTTTCTGTAAGGTTGGCTGATTGATAAGTAGTTGCGTTGAGAAGTTCTTTATGAATAATCTCAGTGTAGAATTGTTTTCATATAATGCTAAAGTTATTAGTTGCTTTATCTATTTTTGTAATAATAAAATGCTGTTTTAATTTACTAATATCAGATGTAAGTTGCGACCAGTTCAGTGTACGTGTGTGTGTGTGACAAGAGCCAATTCGTGGGTGTGCATATGATACATGTTTCATATGCACATGGATTTTCATGCTTTATATTTAACTGTTATTCTAGTGGCTGTAAAAATATAAATGTCAGAATTCCCACCCACTATAATTTTTTTTTTCGTATAAAATGCTGCTTTTCATCATTATTTATGAACAGAGCAGTTCCTGTGAGAGTAAAAATAGCCTGACAAGCATTCATGAAAATATTAATGAATTGGCTACTTTTCATGGGGTTGTGAATAATCACAAAGTATTGTAAATCAAATAGAAAATTAACCGATTTCATTTTATTTTAGATATTCTAATGAATATTTGGTACTTCCTTGGTAAAGTAGCCACCTTGGTAGTCACTAAAATCAGAAGAATATAAAAATTAAAAATGTGTAATGTGTCAGATTTCAGATTCTTTTGATTGTGAAGTTGTTCACACCTTTGATTCATATATTGTTTATTTTTGATCAAACACTCATAAGGTAAAATTAATGGAACTGAAAAAAATCATCAAGATTAATTCATTCTTATGCTTAATGGAAACTATTCCCCAAGCAAAAGAACAGTAGGGTAGAATTTTCATGAAACAGTGAGGTTTTGGTGGAATCTGCAGGAAATTGAACAATGTTTCCTTTTGCAAATAGTAGTCAGACTCTTTAATGAAGATTATAAAAGGTTCAACGTAAATAAAGTACACAATATATTCAGATTGCTGATGTTCTTATCCGAGAAAGAATTAGAAAAAGGCAGGTTTCCATATTTAATATGATTATATAAGTACAACTTTATAATTCAAAATCTTGGTACACGTATCCAGAAAAATCAAACGAACTGATGGCCACCGAATTCTATGGTGGCAATATATAGGTTGAGAAAAAATATTTGATTCTATAGTAATATCAGTTGTTCTATTATAGACTCTACAAAGATAAATAAATTTTATTTCTAGGTGGACATTACATTTTTACATTTTGAAGGTTGACATAATGTTTTTAGGTTTTTGCCTAATTAAAATCAAATGTCATCAAGTTTCACCAAAGTGTATTTGGTGGCTGCTTTAACAAAGAAGTACCAAACCTTCTATCAATACTTTTAAACTTTTACATAAAAGTAAAGTTTCATATGCTTACCAACAGGTATTTGACAGTGTTTCATGTACTTTCAAATCTTGGCTGGAATCAGTTGAAGGAAACTCCGTTGCTGTAAGTTAATTCCTTTTTTTTTAATACAGTTATTTGGTATTAAATTTCATTTGTATATTTTCTCTGCTTTTAGTTTCTAAGAAGTAAACTTTTACCAAAAGATTTATAATTAGATTATATAATTAGGTTCAGTGTACAGCAAACTCTTGCCAAATGTGGTGGTTACGTCATTAACACATTATGTTTATGGCAAAGTTACATTCCATAAAGTTAACTTTCTGCGGAAAAAAAATGGGTTAGGTATAGTTCAGATTCAGAAAGTACGTATAATTTATAAACTTAAATATTATTGCAATTCAAAGAGGGAAAATGAAACAAATGTTAATTGAAAGAACTTCTATTACTGTTTATAAAGTAAGTATATGATATAATTATTTTTTTAAATAGCCAGTGATTTTTGCTTGAGATAATGTTTGATGCAACTCATTAAACGTTTTTTGGTAAGGAGTGCAAAGCTTTTCAGTACATCTCATAAAGTGTAATTTTCTCTCGTCATTTGAGTAAATCTCCATTATAGCATCAGGCAGTTCCATTGCCATTTTTAACAACTGGTTGCATGAAAGGCTTTTTTTCTTCTTCACTGTCGCTTCTTTCTCCGTCGGTTGGTGTTATAAGATCATCCAATTCTTCATTGTTTGTCATTTCATGATCGTCATTCTCGAATAATTCCTTCCTTCCATATCTGAAAAATTCTTTGTCACCTATTGCTTTTGTAATTTGTATGATTTCCTTGGCTTCATTTTTCAATCGATGGAATTCCTTTAAAATTGTTGACAACTTCTATTCAGCACTGATAACAGCAAGCATTCATTGTTGATCAATTCACTTGTTCTTATCTAAGTTTAATAATTTCTATTCAGTATCTTTTGTTGAATTACTTCCAAAATGCTAGTAGTTTGTCGTGCTTTCCTTTATCTAGTGCTATATTTGCAGATATGTTAACTTGTGTGACTTAATAGGCTTTGAATGTTTTTAAGATTCCTTGAACTATTGGTTAGAGTAAGGAAATGGTGTTCAGTGGAAGTAAGAACTTATACATTTGGATGCAATATTGTGAGGGCTTCAGTATCATGTTTTGGAGCATTATAGAGAATTTTAAAGCTAAAGTTTTGCTGTTCTAAATAATATTTGACTTCTTTAATGAATGAATATTCAATTGCGCTTCGAAGTAACTTTAATAAATTCATCTACTTTCAGTTTATTCAAACCAAAATGTCAGCACATAATAATGAAATATCCATATGTAAACATCTAGTAATAAGCCAGTAACACAGTTAAGTTTTAAAATAAGTATTTGAACAATTACAGGTCAGCTACATTGTAGCGGCCGAATTCTGTTGATGACAAATCCCAAGTGTGATGCCAATGCAGGACAACGAAAAGGTGCAAATTAATTCGAGAGGCATGGAAGTAAACACCAGTCGTTATAAAAATCAGGGTGCAGCCGAAGCTCTGCAGAGTACTGCCTATAGTTGAAATTCTCATGTTGGACAAATAAAATGGAGACCATTAAGAAAACTAGTATAAGCAAAATCATGTTCAGTCAGGGTTTACTGTATCTTAGTATTTATTGTACATTGTATATAATAGTTATCTATATACCAATTAAGAATTTTTTAAAATTGTCTTTTGCAGAATTTAAGTCACATTTTTTGTGTGAATAAAGATCATGCTATCACAGTTGACAAGGAAGATCGTGTTAATTTAAAAATTTCTGGTACGTTTCTGAATGTTTTTTTCATTCCTTAATTTTATCTTTATTTGATAAATCTAACGTAAATGTTTGTAATGTTTAAGTCTTATGCTTTAAAACGTTTCTTGTGTTTTCAGTAAAAGTGTTTCTTGCAAACTACAGTACTGAAGATCTGGAAGCATCTGTTTCACAAGGTATTTTGCTAAATCATTTATTAAACTGTTTTCCCCCATCCCTCAAACATATTTTGCGCTGTATGAAACAAGAAAAAAGAAAATATGCTATTAATTTATTTTTTTTTAAATCGAGAAATCTTTTACTTTTTTTAGCTAAACTAGAGTTATGTAAAAACAATCTTTCTCTCATTACTAGAGATTCAATTTTTTAGAATATTTAGTTGGTACTTAACGAAAGACACAAAATTATTAGTGAATAATTATAATATTAGCTTAAAGTTATAAAAATCTATAACACTTTCTAATTATCTGTTGCCTGGTTTCAACGTTTCACTTGGTGGCTAAATCTTTTGGCTTATTTTCAAATAATACATGACAGTCGCCAACCTTCACATATGCATACCACACATATATTAGAGTACATGTGAATTTTACAGGCTTTATATACAGTCAAAAGTCTTTAATCCGGACCTCAAAGCTACAAACTTTCTGTGCATGCGTAAAAACATTATGTGTTTATGCATGTGCATAATACCTTTACGCATGTGCATATGTGTTTACGCATGAGCATAATACATTTACGCATGCACGTTTAATGTATAACGGACGGTATAAGATAAGCTAAAATTATCTAATTATCTATTTCAGTTAATGTTGCAGATTGCGTTGTTCCTTAATCTTCGAATTGGATCTGGCTTATTATTTTTTGCAGACTGTTGAGCAATTTTATAAAAAATAAGCTTGAACTTTCGATTATGTCAAAAAGAGTTTCCAATTCTGGAACTGCCAAAGGATCTACAAAATAAAAGCACGTTTCGATGTCCATTAAACAAAAAGTGGAATTGCTGCAAAAAATGGATAAAGGCATGAAGAAAGTGACAGAGAGGTGATTTGCTTCTCTAACCATTCTGAAATCTTTTCACGCTGCTTGTGTTTTTATATATTGGGTATGTGCTCAGTGAGGATTACCAAGATGTACACAAACATTGTGTATTCTACATAGCTCATCCACTATTCTATATTACAGTTAAAGATAAGAATAGATGTAGTTACATATATAACATCTCCCTTTTTTATAAAAAAAAATAATAATAGTAATAAAATTAAACATATTCTTTTAAATAATAAGGCTTCTTAACAGTCCTACCAGATCAAGTAACGTAGTTATGTCCATTTGTAAAATTTGATGATACTATACCTCTTTCACTATTTGGTGACACACTTCTGTTAGGTTTTGAAGGACTTATAGGCACATCTAAATTTGTAGTGCTCTTACTATTCTCAGGTATCTCGGGTTCATCTATAGCTTCATTCTCGTAGTTGTTTTCTATTGCAAACTCTTTCTGATTATTTCCTTTAAGAAGGTCTCTACTGTTCCTTTCTACAATTCTTTCATCTGTTCTTATAATGCTATATGAACGTGGTCTTTCTGCTTCTTCTATAATTTTCCCTCTTTCATTCAGTTTTTTCTCTTTCTCTTTTATGTAAATATGATCACCTATTTTCAGTGGTTTTAACAGTCTTGCATTTCTATCGTAATAGCTTTTTTGTAAGGTTTGTCTCTTCAGTAAATGTTGTTTATAGTCTTCATATCATTTAGCTTGAACGAAATTCTCTTTATAAGCTCAATCCATTACTTTTCTTCCAAAATCAATTCTGAAGGTTGACTTAATTTCATCTGAAATAGGAGAGTTAGATATTCCAGTAATACTAAATATGGATCCTTGTTGTCAACTACAGCATTTCTAACATTCGCTTGACAGTTTGAATATGTCTTCAACCATTCTATTAGATTGGGGTATTTTGGACTGAAGTTCTGGTTTCAAAATTCCATCTCTTGCAAAATCTTTAAATTTTCTGCAATTATATGTGGACCATTATCCGAATATACTATTTTCGGAATACCATTCCTTGCAAAATTTGATTTCAATTGCTTTATCACTGCTACATTTGACAAATCTTCCAAATGTTCAATTTCAACATATTTGCTAAAATAATCTATAACTATTAGATAATCCCTTCCTTGAAAGTAAAAGAGTTCTGTTCCCAGTACCTCCCATGGACCATTAGGTATTTCTTTAGATATCATTGGTTCTTTAGTATTAGCTTTATGTAAACTTAAACGTGTTTGACAATTCAGTACCAAACCTTCAATTTCTTTCAACATTCCTGGCCAATGTAATATTTCTTTTGCTTTGATCTTGCATTTTACTACTCCTAAATAACCATAATGAATTCTGCTTAACATATCTTTTCGTAAACTTCTTGGTAACATAACACAGAAATTTTTAAATATTAATCATTGCTTCTGATTTCTTCTCTGAAGTTAAAATATGGTTTTGCCAGTTCGGAACCATACATTTTTCATCTGGCCATCCAGTTAATTAATTTTCTTAAAACTTGTAGTTCTTCATCTTTTCTGTTTCCATTGAAAAACTCCATTTTACCTTTAGGCATGGTATACTTCTACAACTAATCCAACATGAGCTTCTATGTCTCCTTCAAAGAATCAGATCCTTTATCAGTGATTCTTGATAATGCATCCGCTATAAAAAGTTCTTTTCTTGGTTTATTTTATCTCAAATGATATGCTGTAATCTTATACGCATTCTTGTAGTCTTACAGGGCATTTATTTAATGGCTTTTTGAAAATTGATTCCAATGGTTTATGGTCACTTCCTTAGTAATTTTTCCAAATATATACTGGGTGCAATTCTCACACGCAAATACAATAGCTAAAGTTTCCTTTCAATTTGAGCATAATTTCTAGTATCTGTTAAGGCCTAGATGCATATGTTACTGGTAAATTATTCTGCAGTAAGACTGCTCCTAGTCCTTCTTAAGATGCATCTACAGATAAAACTACTGGCATTTTATATCAAAATACTGTAAAACTGGTTTATTTACTAAGACATCTTTTAGTCTTCTAAATTTTTCGTGTGTTGCATTCCAGTTCCAGATAACTGTTTTTCACAAATCTCTTAACACATATGTCAATTCTGATACATTAGGTATAAATCTAGAAAACATATGTAATCGTTTCTAGGAAATTTTCTAATTCTTTCACATTTTTGGTGGTTTTATATCTAGAATAGCCTTAATTTTGTCTTCATTGGTTTTAAACCATCTTAGAAAATATATGTCCCATATATTTCGCTTCATTCAGCCAAATTTACATTTATTTAAATTAAATTTAACATTCTTTTCTCTGGCTCTGCCCAACACTTCTTTAATCTTAAATCGTGTTCTTTTTTCTTTACCCCAAACTAATAAGTCATCTATATATATTTAACTCCTTCTAAATCACTAAATATTTCAAAAACTTCTGTGGAAAACTTCTGGTGATGAACTCAGTCCATATGGCAACTTCAAAAACCAATATCTACCAAACGGAGTGTTAAATGTAGTAAATTCACACTTGAATCTGACAGTTTTAATTTGCCAAAATGCTTGTTTGCATCTAAAATACTAAATACCTTTGCATTTGTCATTGAGTTTGAAATTTCTTCAAGGTTGGTATGTGATAATGTTCTCTCAGTATATTTTGGTTAAGGTGCTGAGGATCTAAACACACTTTAATTACCATCCTTTTTCATTACTACCACTATGAATTCACAAATTCTGTTGGTTGTTAACTTTTTTATAATACCATCTTTTTCCATTCTTGCTATTCCTTTTTTAATGGATTTATGTAATAAGCTAAGTGGAATTTTCCAGGGGTTCTTTTACCAACAGCTCCTGGTTATAATTTAATATGATATGCATATCTAGTTAAATTCCCAGTTCCTTTAAACAAATCTTGATATCCTTTTAAAGATTATGGTAACTTTTCATTGGAATCAGGATTTACTGTACAAATCCTTTGTATTAGGTTTAATTTTTGCAATGTAGGTAAACCTAAAATAGCTGGAACAGTTTTATCACATGCTACAACTTGAAATTCTACTTCATCCTTGTCCCCTTTTTATGTTTTACTAATAATTTACATTTTCCGACTACATCAGTTGTAGTACCATTGTAATTATTTAAAGGGACTTTTGATTTAATCAAACATTTATCTCTTAAATTTAATTGTTTAAATTTAGGCAATTGTAGCACATTACACTGAGATGCAGTATCCCTAACAATAAATATTTAGATATGTTTACTTTTAGTTTTTCAAACCATTCTGTTTTATTTTAAAAAAGATTTGTATCTTCTACTGACCCTAAAAACATTCATTACCATTATTATGTAATTTGCTCTAAATTATTCTGTACAACATTAACATTTTTTAGGCACATTTAGAAGATGATTATTTCTTTTAGTACAAGCAAATCTTATTATAAGCAGGACAGTTGTATACTTATAAAAGTTCCAACATTTTCTACACGGTCCGGATTATTGTTCTTATTTCCCTGATAGTTTGAAGAAGATTTAGTACGTTGTTGCTTTTTGTTTTACATGATTTTTTCTTACAGGCTGACTTTTTCCCCTGAAGGTGGAAATTTATTACGTTTGTCACTACTTTTATTTTCGGTGAATCTTTACATTATGGTAACTTGGCGATTTTTTGGCGACCAACCCTGCTACAGCAACCTGCTAGTTTTGTTTTGGACGCCATTTTGTTTTCACTAAGCAAAGACATTTTTTTTTTTTTTCTCAACATTTTTTCCAACAATCTGCTAGCCGAATTACGCGTATACTAGAACTTTTATGGAACAAAAATGCTTAAACATGACGAAGATTAGGTACGAAATGGGAGAAAGTGCAGAATCGCAAACTGCTTGCTGCGTTTTTAAGAATTGCACATACATGGTATCCATGTACACGTCGACCTATTTTCACTTGACAAAACATCACAGAATTGCACAAAAATAGCATTGCTCACACTCTTGACTTTATCTATGTACATATCGACCTATTTTCACTTGAAAAGTCAAAGAAAATTGACAAAAATCGAATTCTTCGTACTCTTGTAAAAAGCACCAAAAATAAGTGGACAATTCTGCACTTTAGCATGAATTGTTCTTGTGCTA